CAGACTGTGCCCCGCTGCTGCTGCTGCAGGAGTGCCAGGGTCCAGCCTGGTTCTCCCTGACAGCAGGATGGGAAAGCACAGGGCAAGCCCTGCAGGGGTTTTCAGGGGATCCCAGTGCCCTCGAGCACAGAGGGACAGCTGGCTCTGGGATCACCTGCACCATTCCCTCCCCAAACCCCACGGCCCACGGGGATGTTCCACTTCTCCAAGAATTCCCAAACCTTCTCTCTCTGGCTGTGGGGCCTGGGCAGCTGCAGGCCCAGGGAAGCCCCCAGGACTCTCCACCCCTAATGATTTCCCCTTTTCCCAGTGCCAGCTCACAGTTCCTACCCAGGTGATGACAAACCAGGAAAGTTCTCAGCCAGTCGTTCCCAACAGCGACCATTTGACATCCTCAAATCCGGTTTCATGTTTTCCAAGGTATTTTTTAACACATCCACGTCTGCATCTGTGTTTGGTGGCAGTGCCAGCCCTGGGACGGGACAGGGGCTCCACACAGGGAGCAGGCAGGACAAGGCTGAGGCTGAATGGGGCAGCTGAGAGCAAAGCCAAGGAAATCCAGGAAAAAATCTGAGTATGAAATGTCCAGGAGGTTGGTTTGCTGTTGGTAGTGAGCACTTGGAGTGTAAAGATGGTAAAACACTTGGTTAAAGCCCTTTCCAGGGCCTGAAGGAGCTCCAGGAGAGCTGCAGAGGGACTGGGGACAAGGATGGAGGGACAGCACACAGGGAATGGCTCCCACTGCCAGAGGGCAGGGCTGGGTGGGATACTGGGAATTGGGAATTGTTCCTGGCAGGGTGGGCAGGCCCTGGAACAGAATTGCCAGAGCAGCTGGGGCTGCCCCTGGATCCCTGGCAGTGCCCAAGGCCAGGCTGGACACTGGGGCTGGAGCACCTGGGACAGTGGGAGGTGTCCCTGCCATGGCAGGGGGGCACTGGGTGGGCTCTGAGGCCCTTCCCCCCAGCCCATTTTGGGGTGCTGGGACCCCTCTGCTGTAGTTTAGCACTGATTGACCCGGTGCAATCAGAAATGCCTCTGCACAGAGCTCTGAGGGGGAATGCAGGGACAGGGAACGCAAAACCAGGGAGATGAACCCCCCCAGTGGGATCAGCTGAGGGCAGGGCTCCAGGGAGCCTGATCAGGGGCGATCAGGGAGTTTATTCCCAGGAAGTGCCCGTGGATGAGGGGTGTCCTGCTGGGACCCCCTGGGCAGGCAGAGCCTGTCCCCCAGCAGCAGGGCTGGGGACAGGTCCCAAAATGGCTCAGGGGGTGACAGCTGCGGGGTCAGCACCCACCCTGGCAGGTTTTGGACACAAATAAACACAGCAAGTCCCACCTCAGCTCCAGGAAGAATTTCTTTCCCTGGGGGGCAGAGCCCTGAGCAGCTGCCCAGTGTGGGGCTGGGGTTTCCCTCTCTGGGGACCCCCCAACCCCACCCAGGGCTGGGGTTTCCCTCTCTGGGGACACCCCTACCCCACCCGGACACGTCCCGTGTGCCCTGCTCCAGGCTGGGCTGGATGGCGTCCAGAGGTCCCTCCTGTGATTCTGTGAACTGGTGGGATGCCACAGTTAGAATTTCCAAAGGAAATGGGGGATGCTGTGCCAGCTGGAGCTCCCTGCCCGTGCCCGTCCCTCGCCATCCCTCTGGAAGTGCCCAGTTCCAGGCTGTCCCTGGCAGGCAGGGCAGGCCCATCGTGCCCACACCACTTTGGGCAGGACATGGATCCAGGGATCCACAGGGAGCTGGCCTGGCCCTGGAGCCATGGGCAGGCACAGCCGTGGTGCCACCAGGGCCAGGCCTGCAGGGCACCACCACCCAACCCCAAACAGCACCATTTGCAAATCATGGAATTTCAAACCAAAAACAAAAATGAAACCCCCAAAAAAGCATTTTGCCAATCCTCTCCCTGGCTGATTCCAGCTGATTTAGTGGAAGTGACTGACTGGCACCAGTCTGGGCACTCCTGGCACTGCCCGTGGCACAAGAGGTGGCATTGTCCCCTCCTGTGTCCCTTGGGTGGCGGTGGCTGTGTCCCCTCCCTCCTCCTCCCCGGGCAGGGCACTCGCACTTGCTCATCACTTCGGTTTTCTACCTGTGAGTACTGTATCCAGTTCAGAACCAACAGCTTCCTTTAGTAAAGATTTTACCATTTTATAAAAGACATGTTTAATTATGATGGAGATGGCTGTATTGTAATTAATATTTTGAGATAATTGTGATTTTGAGCTTAAATTATATACAGAAATGGTCATTTTTGTATGTGTTCAAAGATTGCTATATTCCAGATGACTGTACTTTTCAGTTGAATTCCAGTATCCATGTAAATAAAGCTGAATGAGGAAATATTTACTACTTTATTAACATAGATTGTGAATGTACTTCATGTTTTTTGCAGTATAAAGACTTACTGAACTTGAAAGCTGCTTCATTTTATGTGCAAAAAGGTACTTCAAAAATTCTATTTTAAACCTATTGATTGAGTGCAATCAGCTCCTGTCCCTTGGCACATGCAGGTTGTCCCCTCCCCGTGCCCTGGAGGGCCTGGCCCGTGCTGTGGGGCTGCTGCATTTTGCAGCTGCTCTGTGCAGAGGGAGCCCAGGGACTGAACCGATGCTGTGCAGTGCAGCAGAGCCATTTTCGGCTTTGCTGTACCCACCTTTTTCAGTATTTCAAAAAAAAAAGTGTTTTGAATAACATTAAAAAGTCTCTTTATTGTACAAATAATAAAAGCGTCACCTTATTGTAAGGCTTTCGGGTGGTTTTTTGGTTTTTTGCTGGCAGAAAGGTTTCAGAGGGTGGGGAAGAGGGGAATGAGCCTGGAAAATTGGGGAACTCCCAACTGGGACTCCCCTGGTCCAGCTGCAGCCTCTGGGAGACATCAAATATAGAAAGGGAGCAATGGAAAGGGGGAAGAAAAGTCAGGTTTGGCAGCTTTTGGGGCAATGTGTGGAAGGATAACTGCACGGAAGAAATGGATGAAAGGACAATATGTGTGGAAGGATAAATGCATGGAGGACAGATGCATGAAGGAAAGGATGAAAGGACAAATGCACCAAGGACAAAAATGTATGGAAACAAGAGGAGGCAGGGGGTGAGGGCAGCAGCAGTTCCATCAGCCAAGGAGCTGCAGAAGTGGCCCTGGAGCTCCAGCTGTCCCCTGTGGTCACTGCACATGGGCCCTGTCATCTGCTTCCCACAGGGCAGATCCTGCCCCTCCCATCCCCACTCCCCCAAAGCCCCTTCCCAAACCCTTCCCAACCCTTTCCCTTTCCCATTTCCTGCAGCCAGGACCAGGTTCTGCTCCCCACGGGGGACACAGGGAGGTGCAGCTGGGCCTGAGCCCCCTGAGCCATCCCTGCTCCAGCTGGAAGGCAATTCCCACACCTGGGGAGCTGGGGGTGAGTCTGAGTGCTTTATGTCCATCTGGACATGTTCAAAACCTGGGAAATTTAGTGAGGAACTGTAAAAAATCCTACTTGTGCTACAGAACCTCCAGGGCTGTGTTCATGGGAGACCCTGAGGGGCTGGAGAGTGTCCAGGGCAGGGAATGAGCTGGCAAGGGGCTGGAGAATCCCTGAGGAGCTGGGAAGGGGCTGGAGAATCCCTGAGGGAGCTGGGAAGGGGCTGGAGAATCCCTGAGGAGCTGGGAAGGGGCTCAGCCTGGAGCAAAGGAGGCTCAGGGGCCCTTGTGGCTCTGCACAGCTCCTGCCAGGAGGGGACAGCCGGGGGTCGGGCTGTGCTCCAGGAACAGGGACAGGAGCAGAGGGAACAGCCCCAGGCTGGGCCAGGGCAGCTCAGGGTGGGCACAGCAGGAATTTCCCCATGGAAAGGGGGTCAGGCACTGGAGGGTGGTGGAGCCCCACCCACAGCACTGTTACCATTAAAGGTCCCACCTGCAGGACATCTGGAAGTGTGTCTGAACAAGAGAAGTTCTCCATGTTTCCATCTACAGAGCTCAGTTACAGCCTGAAGGACCCAGAGCAGACATCCAAGGGGAACATTTATTGTCTCAGCACAGCACCAGCCCCATCTTCACTCAGGTGAGCCCTGCACACACCTGGGGCATCTCTCACCCCCCAACAGCTCAAGCATTCCACCACACTCACACCGCAGCTCTGAGGACAGCAGTTAAACACGAGAAAATAGGAATACAAACCCCAGAGTGTTCCCTTCTGCCTTTGGCCCCAGTGCTTTGATGGTGACAGCTCTCTCCAGAGCCCAGCTCAGCTGCAGAAGCACCCTGGCTATGCTGAAGGCAGCTTCCCTTGCTGTCTTTTACTACAAACAGTGTAAACAGAGTGTGCTGGAACATGCAGAGGGCCATGGAACATGCAGAGGGCCGGGAATGTTTCACAGCTGGGTTCTTAACACTGGGCAGACTCCCAGCCAGGAGCAGGGGAAGGATGGAAGCAGTAGAGCCCGGGGGGCTGGTGGGACAGGGGGTACCTGGCTGCTCCTGTGCTGCTGGAATGTGGCTCTGCAGGTATGCCAGCACTGCAGCCGTGCCCTTGGCCAGGCCAGGCTCAGGTGGGAATGCCCAGGATCAGGAGGAATGTGCAGGGCTCAGGGGGCAGTGCCCAGGCTCAGGAGGAGTGCCCAGGGCTCAGGAGGGAATGCAGCTCCACAGGTAGTCCAGCACCCTTGGCCAGGCCAGGCTCAGGAGGGAATGCCCAGGGCTCAGGAGGGAATGCCCAGGGCTCAGGAGGAATGCCCAGGCTCAGGTGGCAGTGCCCAGGCTCAGGAGGGAATGCGGCTCCGCAGGTACTCCAGCCGGGCAGCCGTGTCCTTGGCCAGGCCAGGCTCAGGTGGGAATGGCCAGGGCTCAGGGGCGAGGAGGGAATGCCCAGGGCTCAGGAGGAATGCCCAGGCTCAGGTGGCCGTGCCGAGGCTCAGGAGGGAATGCGGCTCCGCAGGTACTCCAGCCGGGCAGCCGTGTCCTTGGCCAGGCCAGGCTCAGGTGGGAATGGCCAGGGCTCAGGGGCGAGGAGGGAATGCCCAGGGCTCAGGAGGAATGCCCAGGCTCAGGGGCAGTGCCCAGGCTCAGGGGCAGTGCCCAGGGCTCAGGGCTCAGGAGGGAATGCGGCTCCGCAGGTACTCCAGCCGGGCAGCCGTGCCCTTGGCCAGGCCAGGCTCAGGGGTGAGGAGGGAATGCCCAGGCTCAGGGGCAGTGCCCAGGCTCAGGGGCAGTGCCCAGGCTCAGGAGGGAATGCGGCTCCGCAGGTACTCCAGCAGGGCAGCCGTGCCCTTGGCCAGCACGGCGGCGCGGGGCGTGCGGAACGGGTTCCCCTCCAGCAGCAGGCTCCTGCAAACAGGGCTGAGTTACTGGCAGGAATCTCCTTGTACCCACACACTCATCCACTGCATGCAGACTTCTGAGGCCTTTGAAATTCCCGGGGAGCTCCTCTTTGGTCCTGCCACAGGAGTCTGGGTTTCTGCTCCCCTCGTTCTCAGCAGCCGAGCTTTGAGACAGCTGAGTTTTAATTTGTGCTGATAAATCAGGGGGGGTGTAGCACACACCCCACTCCAGCCTCTGCCAGGAGCAGTGAAAAGAGAACCTCTGGAATATAGAAACAGAATTCCAGAGTGGCTCAGGCTGGAAGGGAGCAGTGGGGTCAGCTGCTCCCTGCTCAAAGGGGGGTGCACCAGGAGCGTGACTGGGAGCACAGGAAATGTCACCCCCAAGGCTCCACCACAACCTTCACACAAGCCCCAGACCCTCAAATCAGTTCCAATTGATGAAACAACTCCCACAGTTCTGTGCAATATTGAGAAATTAGGGAAGACATTATGGAAGAAATTGCCCTGTTCTACAGATGGCTAGAGAGACCCTTTTTGAGTAAACCCAACACCCTGCCAATGGGTGCTTTTTCCTCTGGCAAACACACCCTGCAGAACTCAGACAGCAAATGTGTTCACAAGCAGGCCCCCTGACCCCTCACACCTGAGATTCTCACAGTTGCCCAGCTCTGGGGGCACCTGGAGGAGGTCATTGTTCTGCAGGTCCAGCGTTGCCAGCTTGTCCAGCCCCTTCAGCTGCACGGGGTCGATGGATCCCACCTGGTTGTTGCTGAGCAGGATGGTCTCCAGGGCTGGCAGGTGATACAGGACACTGGGAAACACCTTAAATCTTCAGGAAGAGAAAGGAGGGGTACTCAGAAACAGGGCATTCAAAAGAGAAGCACTTCATGGGAGCTCCCAGCTCACTGAAGTGGCTCCTTGTTCTCACATCACAGGAAAATTGAGTCAAACTCAGCCCAGCTCTTTTCATTATTGTATTTTTTAAAAATCTACAGTTCCTCACCTATTGAAAGCAAGATTTATTGTGTGCAGTCTTTTCAGTGCCTCCATTTCCTCAGGCAAGGCTGTCAGAACATTGTTTCTGTTATCAAAGAAAAGAAAAACAGCAAGCACTAAACTTAGTCAGGGGTTTGGCTGAGAATTCCCAGATCACCTACACAGTCTGGGGCCACTTCACTGCCCCATAGCAAGGGCAAGAGCATGCCTGGGATTCCCATTTCTGCCAGGAGGACACTCAAAGCCTGTCCTCTAAAGATTCCTAATATTCCCAAGCAGCCACCAGCTGCACAAACCTGCCTGGAAATTCAGCTCCTTGTTTCCAGAGGAAAGCAAAGTGCCCAGACCCTGGAGCCAAAGTGAAACACTCAGGTCACTCCAAAGCTCCCCACAATCAATGGATTGAGCTAATCCTCATCTAAACAAGGCCAGGAACACTTCTCAGGAATCAGAGGAGGAAAGGTGACAACAAGGAACCATCTCTTGCCTCTCCTTCCAGTAGTGCAACAAAATCTGCACCTCCCCTGTCCTAATTCCCAGGATTTTTTGGTGTGGTTTTCTTCTGGGGGGTGGCAGGAGTGTTTTGAAATAACAACATCTCAGAACCCTTCTCTGAATGAGGCAGGATCTCTCCTCCAGCACATCTCAGAATTGGTCCATTTCTTTTTGTGTCTTCTTTAAGCAAGGCCCAAATTTAAGCCCTGTCCTACTCTGGCTCTGCCACGGAGAGATTTTGGCAGTGAAGATGATTTCAGTGCTGCCATTCCACTGGAACAGAGGCTGCTTTAGGGAGGCAGGCAAAGAAGTGCAACAACACACATCACCAACCTGAGATCCAAATGTGTCAACTTCTGGAGCAGGCACAGCTCCGAGGAAATGGAGGAGATTTTGTTGAAGGCCAGGCTGACATCACAAACTGAGTCTTTCAGCTCCACAAGCCTGAAGCACAAAAGGAAGATGCTCTCACTATGGAAGCTCATGGTAGCTTGCTTTTTAAGTTATTAGAAAACCTGATTTATTCTACAAATCAAGGACAACTTGTGTTTTTTTTCTGAAGAGATTTTGAGGAGATCACAGAATGTCACCTGTGAGAGGAGCTGCTGCTCCTCCAGCCTTACATGTGGGGTAAGGCAAAGCCCAAATCATTTATCTGCAGTTACCAGATTGCATTTTCTCTCACAAACATTGCTACCAAAGCCTCCTCAGTAAATGCAGTCAGGAGGTGTTTTAGAGACCATGGCCCAGGTGACATCACTGCCACCTCCTGCCCTGGACACGTTTTAATACAGACTCCACTTCTTCTGCAGCCAAAAAACCTGACTAAAAAAATCCTGGTTTTCCCATCTTTTGTTTCTGCTCTCCTGTTGTGCTGTTACAAACTCTGGGAGTACCTGCTGCTGCTTGAAGAAGGTTATTTATTATACTAACAGGTTTTTGTAAAGGTTTTCACAGCTCAAAAAGTTCCCTGTTGAACGCCTCAAACAGAATCTCTGGCTCAGCCCTGAAACAAAGTGCAATTAAATGAGAAAATGAGAAAACTCTCCTGCCTCCTGTCTGGAGTGGCATGGAATTCTGAGGCAGCTGCACACTCCCTGACACATATCCCAGGGAATTCAGCAGCCCCTCACACAGTGACACAGCATGGGATGCACAAGCAGCAGCTCCCAAACTGAGTCTCTAGAACACTTTTTGTTCCTCTGGGTTTGCTCCTGGGAATAAACTGTCCTCAAAAACCACTGAGGACAATTTCTGGGGGCTCCCAGAGACACAGCAGCCTTCCTCCTGACACAGAGGGATTACAGGCTCCCAGCAGTGCCAGGAAAAGCCTTTCCTTGGCTGTGGCTGGCCCCGGTGACTGCACACGAGTGCCTCCCCACACTGTGCACAAACAGCTCAGGGGGAGAACAGCCTGCTGCACACAAAGGCAGAGGGCAAACCCCAGCTGGGAATGCCCTCCCAGCAGTACCTCGGGGGGATCTCCCTGAGCTGGTTCTTGCTGAAGTTCACGGTGGCCACAGGGTTGGTGCCCACGGCGTCGAACACGGCCTCGGGGATCTCGGCAGCCTGCTTCTCACTGGGACAGGAGACACCAATTAACCACTGCCTGCTAATCAACACGCCCCTTCCACCTGCTTCGAGAGGAGACAGCGAGCAGAACACGGGGCACAGCTGCAGAAAACCCCCAGTGCTGCCCTGTTCCCACAATGTCACCAAAGAGGATTTTTTTCTATTTCCCACCCCTCCAGGTCCATTTAAGGAATAAGTGAGCAGGCACTCCCCTACCACAAGATGTTCTGGGACTCAGTGAAAACCATAAAGAGCTTCAAAGGTACTAAAAGCACCTGCTGGGATTCAGCACTTCAACATTACCACAGAATATTTAATATTTGATAATACAAAAAATTAATTTAAACCCCACAATCTACATCTGCCCATTCCCAAGCACAGGAATTAAATACTAAAAGCACCTGCTGGGATTCAGCACTTCAATATTACTGCAGACTATTTGAAAATACAAAAAATAATCCAAACCCCACAATCTAAATCTGCCCATTCCCAAGCACAGGAATTAAGGGGGAAAATGTCCACATGCAGCAGGGTTTGTGGACAGCATGGTGTGTAATTAAGGTGGGGAAAAAACCCACAAGGATAAAATAGGACAGCGTTCTTACAGCTTCAGGAATGGGCAATATTCCCAAATACCTGTATTCCAATAATTTCAGTGTGGTTATGGCGTGGATGTTGACCTTGGACTGGCTGGGAAGAGTCATGGCAGTCACAGGAGGCTCTTCATTGGGGCCAGGTCCATCATCTGGGGACACCAGAGGGGTGCAGGGACACGGCTGAGCTGCTCTGAGTGGCCCCAGGCAGCTGCCACCACCCCCCTCTAATCCTGCCCTACTCTGGCTCAACTCAAGACCATCAGATCCAGATTACTGCAATCATTTCCCAATAAAGGGTTTTTACCATCTTGGATTTGGAGGTTCTTTTAGGGGGAAGGAGGGAGAAGGGTGACCTGGACTTTGCCAAGCAGGGGAGGGAGCACTGGAGATGTGAGGCTCTGCTCGGTGGGGTAGGGAGCTGGAAACTACAAAAACCAGGGAATTCCAGCTGGAAATGATGACCTGGAGCAGCTTTACCCACACTGGCACATCTGACCACAACTTCAGTTAAAGCACTAATATTTACAAACCCTCCTCTATGAATTTCCTTCTGGTTCCTTCCTTCCCCACAATCCACATGAAAAAGCTCCTGCACACCTGAAATAGGAATTCCCATCCAGCTGAGCAGGGCGAGTCTGGGTTTGTAAAGGATAATCCTCAGTTCAGAATGTTTATTATTCAGTATTAGCTAATAGGATAAGAAACTTAAATATCACAGCAAACTGTTGAGTAAAGGAAATTTTTACTGCAGGATAACTGGGAAGAACCTGGATTTAAACAACCATCTTCCCTAAACTCTAATTTACTTAAATTTCTTAGAATATTCTCTTTAAAATGAAGTGGAAGAAAGCAACATACCTTGGATTTTGCTTCTCAGATATTTGAGCAGTTCCTGGGTGCCTTTCTTTAAAAAAGAGACAAACCCCAAGTCACTCAGCAGTAACTGTGCAGCTGGGGGGACAATGCAGAGGGACAAAGCCAGCACACAGGTGGAGCCCACAGCACTCCTGACTAAAAATCCCACTGAAAATCCCACAGCAGCTTGGCAACTTGCTTGGTTATCATTTTATTTATTCCAGCTGAGAATTTCTGATCCTGAACTACAGCCTCAGGCTGCACTTCTGTAGCTCCTGATGTGAAGATTTTTGCCACTTCCAAGAGCAAGTAAAGAAGTTCCAATGAGCTTAATTTTCCCTTTAAAAAGCCCCAGCACAATTTGCTGTGGAGAGCACATTTACAGAGTCAGTGAAGCTGACTGCTCACCATTCTGCTACTTTTTTATGGCCCAAATGATAAACTCTGGGAAAATTGTGGCAGTTTGCATCATTGGCAGGGATTTTTAACAGCTCCAAAGATTTCCCTCAGTCCTCTCACAGCAACTCCCAGAGGTCAGACACAGCTTCCACCTGCACAAACCTGTGGGTAGTGAAGCTCAAGCTCCTCTGCACTGTTTGTTTTAGGGGAAAGGCAGGTTTGGGGTATGATTTTACAGGTTTCAGAACCAGGGACTGACCTGAAGTGCTGGAGGTGAATGAACATTTCTCACTCCAGCTGACACAGCCAGGAGACTGGAGGAACACAGAGGGATAAAGGGAATGTGGATGTTGGAAAGGAGGGAATTGCCACAAGCAGACAGGCAGGGAGAGAGGGACTGTGCTGAGCATGGCAAGGGAAGCCAGCAGGGAACAAGCTGGGAAGTTGTGAGGGAAAGGTGAAGGTCAAACTGAAATCCCAGTAACAGATGCATGGGAAGGAAAGCAGAGAGCAGGGTAAAGCTCCAGAGCCAAGTAATGGCATGGGAATTAACAAAAATAGACCAGGATTTACCAGAAATTAACTGGAAATTCATCAAGAACCAGGAATGGGGTTGGGACTGGAATGAGAGGCCTGAGGAAGAGAAGGTGAGCTGGGCAGGGCTGGAGAAGGGAAGAGAAGGATCTGCTGCTCCCCTACACTCACCCCAGTCCTTTATCTCGGCATCCACCTGCCCCAAGCAGTGCCTGGGGAGCCCTAAAGATTGCTCCTCTAAACCAAGTGGAAAAAAATCCAGCCAGGCAGAGGAAATTGCAGCCAGATGAATTTACAGTGCTGGTGACAGATCCAGGCAGCACAAACACAGCGTGGCCTGACGGGCTCCTCGTGCCTGGCCTTTGCCCCAGCTGGGAAACACAGCCCAGGAGTGACAACTGCAGCTGAAGCAGCAAACCCTCAGTGATCCAGGAACAGCAGAACTCCAGCATTCCTGACTCAGGCTCCTTTCCAGGAGCACTTTGGACAAGTGCTGACTAACTCAGGGCACCCTCTGCTCCCCCAGCCAGGCACACCAGGGCTTCCCTCTCCTGACAGATGTTACAGATTTCATTGCAACACAGACCTGTCAGCTCTGCTTATTTTGGGAGCATCCCAGCGCTTTGGGAACATTGATTTTACAACCCTGGCAAAGGCACAGAAGTAGGAATGTGCAGCACCACTGAGGAGAGGGGCCTGCCAGGGAAAACATCACAGGGAATTGTGCAGCAGGAGTGGTGCCCAGGCTGCAGCCTCCTGCTGCCCTAAGGACTCCTTTTCCTGGGAACAACTCACACCCTCCCCTTGCTGCCTGCCTACAAGAGAACAGAGCACTGAATCCTAGAACCTTCATTAAGACAAAACCTTAAAGCCCATCCCACTCCACCCCCTGCCATGGCAGGGACACTTCCACTGTCCCAGGTGCTCCAGCCCCAGTGTCCAGCCTGGCCTTGGGCACTGCCAGGGATCCAGGGGCAGCCACAGCTGTGCCAGAGCCTGCCCACCCTGCCAGGGAACAATTCCTAATTCCCAATCTCCCATCCATCCCTGTCCCTCATCCCTATCCATCTTTCCTGCATCTCCTTCAGGCCCTGCAAGGCCACACTGAGGTCACCCCAAAGCTTCTTCTCTCCAGCTGTGCCAGCCCTTCTTCCCAGCAGAGCTGCTCCATCCCTGGGACCATCCTGGTGCCTCCTCTGGACCCTCCCAGGTCCCTCCCGTGCAGATGTCCACACACACAACCAAACCTCAGTGCTCACCTGCAGCAGGTCTCTCCGAATGGTTCTCAAAGGATTTCCCTCCAGGGCCAGGAATTTCAGCTGAGTGAGGTTCCCCAGGGTGTAAGGCAACCTGCAGAGGGAAACAACTCATTCATTCCAAAGCAGCTCCAAAACCACTGCTAAAGAATGTGCAGTGGCTGCTCAGAGGGGATCCTGAAGCTCAGGTTCAGAGGAAAAGATGCAGAATCCCAGATTAATTTAAGTTGGAAAAGCTCTCCCAGACCATCTCTGCCAAGCTCTGTCCAATTCCCACCTTAGATCCCCCAGGGATTCTCCAGCCCCTTCCCAGCTCCCTCAGCCTCTCCTGGGGTCCAGTCTCTTCCCAGCTCCCTCAGCTGCTCCTCACAGCACTCCCAAGCCACAGCTAAGTCACGGGCAGAACACAGAACATTTCACAAGACCCAGTCTGATCTCAGCAATCCCACAACACACAGAGGGCTCCTTCATTTCCTGACTGAGTCATTCCTGAAGTGCCCTTCCCAGGGAAGGCAGGAGCTGCCACCACCCAGCCCCAGCCCAGGTGTCACTATTACCTACTGATGTCATTGTTGGCCAGGTCGAGCCTCTCCAGCTTCTGCAGCAGCGTGATCTCCTCGGGCACTGCCTTGATCTTGTTGTCCCTGAGCTCCAGCACACACAGGGAGCTCAGCTGCTTCAGGTTCTCTGCATTCAGCATTTCAATCTGATTCTCCCCAGCGTGTAATTCCTATGGGAATAAAGAGCACCACAGCTGTGGTAAAATTACTTCATAATTTATCTCCTAAATCGTGACATCAGCAGTCATCAGTATGATGATGTGGAGAATCAAGATGGACTTCTTGATTCCCTTTCATCTGCCTACAAAATACCTCGATATAACCTATGTTAAGAGGAAAAACAATGTATTTGCTCTGTAGTTACGGAGAATAAATTATAATGAACAAAGTGAATTTATCCAGAAAAAGTTCCCAGAGATAAAAAATAACTTGCAGGCAATATTAGATCCAGCTTTCAGTCATTCCTCTCCTGAACACTTTTTATCTTCCAAATCTGGAAAAGTCCTGCAAACTCATCTTTCAAAAGGTTGAATAACGAGGGCAGGAAGAGAAGTTGCACATTAAACAGAGTTCCAAACACAGAGCCTTCATCTGGTTTTGATCACAGCACCTCCCAAAAGCTTGTGCTTAAAGTAACTGTCATTATTTCAAAGTTTTCAGTGCAGGCATTTCCAGCAGAGCAGCCATTCCAAGCTCACCTTCAGTAACTTGCAGGAGGGAAGCTCTGGCAAGGAATGCAGTTTGTTTTTCCTCAGGTAAAGCTGCTCCAGGGATGCCATGGTTGCTAATTTAGGAGGTACTGTTTCCAGGTAATTTTTGGTACAATCCAGTTGCCTCAAGCCTGTGGAAGCCAATGTCCAGTGAGAAACAGAGGAGAAGATAAAAATACCTTTCCACAGCAGCATAACTGCCCTGGTGGTTTAATTTAAAATAAACACAACAACATTTTGCCAAACAGATTCTAGAAGTAATAACTCTGATTTTCTTGAGGAAACAATAACTCTTTAAGGATCTATTTTAAAACCCTGCACTGTATTGCTGAACATAAGCACAGCACTGGCTGTCTGGTATTAATAACCCGAGGAAAGTGAATTACTTCTCATGGCACTGAGATCTGCAGGCAGCTCCTTGAGCTGGTTACAGGCCAGGTTGAGCCGCACCAAGTTCACCAGCAGAGCAAAACTGGCGGGGACGGCTGTGAGCTGGTTGTTGGACACATCCTGCACGTGGAAACAGAGAGAGATGAGAGGTGTCTGAAACATCCCAGGAGGGCTGCTACTGCAGAGTTAATTAGCGGCAGAACAGTAAAATTAGATTGCTGACAACTGGCACAAGTGTGAGAGAAGGAACAACCCCCCCAGGACTGACAGATCGCCGGGGACTTCAGCTTTCCCAAAATATGTCAAACCAAGAACACACTAAAAACAAACCCCACCATGCAGCAACTGACACTAGAACAGCCGCTGGAATATTTGCCAAGTCCTGCTGCTGAACCCCGGGACTTTTAACCAGCAGACAAACCCTTTCCAGACCCAGAAACAGGTGTGAAGCTGTGCTTTACCAGCTCCTCCAAGCTGAGGAGCTGCCCCAGCCCCTCGGGCAGCTGGCTCAGCTCGTTGTGCTGCACCAGGAGGCTCCTCAGACGGGGCAGCTGCAGCAGCTCCTCGGGAAGGCTCCTCAGTTTGTTGTGGCTGGGGTGGAAACATGCAACACAAAGGCAAAGGAAAAACACTCAGGAGATTTTAGGAATGTAACTGCACACAGAACATTTGTGTGCCACAGCCTGCTGGGCAGGACACTGCCACCTCTAAGGAACAACTGATTATATTTATTTATTTGTTCAAGCAGACTTTTAATCCTACTCTGAATTTACAACATTCTAGATGGATCTCAGGTTTTTTTGTTTATGTACTTCACACACGCAGTGGTAGCATAACCTCTCCTTGTGCACAAATTTACAAAATTACCCCAGTAAACAGAAGATTCTGAACCTTCCAGCACAAACAAGATCTACACAGTTATTTACAATGTGCATTATTCATGACTGGAAATGTTTTATCCTCAGAACTGCCAGACTGAAGCAAATAAATGCAAATAAATATTTTGTGTATCATTATTCAGAATATCACTGCACCTTCCAAGCAATTGTGACTTTGAATAGCAGTGAAAACAATTTCAACAAGGCCACCAGTTTTGATCCAAAATGGATAATAGAACATATATAATATATAATAATAGTCTACAGTGAGTAATCTGGAGTTAATTTTTGAAAAAAACGTTGCTATCCTGCAACTTCTCACTCACACCCAAAAGTCACTGCAGTATTTTTCCACTTTTCTCTGTAACATGGCCCTACCTGACATCGAGTTTTTGGAGATTTTCAAGTTGCCCTAAAGCAGAAGGAAGTGATGTCAGTTGATTGTCATGCACCTGAAAAAGAGAGGTTTTAGGACACAGTTACAATAACTTGTACACAGTTACTAATTTGTACCTCAGAGGGTTTTTTTGGGGGAAGAATTCCTCCCCAATATCGCATGGGTCCAGCCCTCTGGCAGTGGGAAGCCATTCCCCCTAGTCCTGGCACTCCAGGCCCCTGCGAAATGAATAGAGCAGGGAAATGGAAAACAAAGATCCCCCTGTCCTGCAGGGAAGTACCGAGGGAGCACCAAGGCATCGCCGTACTCACGTCCAGCATGGTGAGGGCAGGCAGCAGCTGCACATCCTCCGACAGGCTCTGCAGCTTGTTGGAGGCCAGGATCAGCTTGGTCAGGTCCGTCTGCTCCCACCAGCGATCGGCAGCTCCGAAGGACAGGTTCTGCTGGGCTTCCTCCGGCGTGTCCAGGTTGATCCTCCACACGTGCTCGGGCACTGCAGCACAAACAGAGCGTCAGCTGAACCCCGCGGCTGTCTGCTCCAACATCTCACTGTCAGCGTGCTTTTTGGGTGTAAAATCATGGAGTGGGTTGGGCTGGAAGGGACCTTCATGATCATCTAGTTCCGACCCTTCTGCCTTGGGGGACGATATATATAGACATAGATAAATATAGATGGATGCATATAGGCATATACATATGTGTGTACGTATAAAAACATACATCTATAAATAGATACATACATATATATGGACATAGATAAATATAGATGGATGCATATAGGCATATAAAAACATACATCTGTAAATAGATACATACATATATATATGTATGTACACATATATATAATACACCCATCTCTACAGCCACTCTCCCATTGTGTTCCACAGACATTTTCGCAGAGGTATCAAAAAAGCCGATGGAAACATGCCAGAAACAGACAAGAGCGAGCAGACGGCGCTCCCCGGAGCCGCTCCGCCCCGCGCGCAGCCCCCGCGGCCGGCCGGGCTCACGCACCGTGGGTGAGGCCGCGTCCCGCCACCCGCGGGCGGACCCGGCCCGGCCCCGCGCCGCCATTTCCCGCCCCGCCGTGCCGAAATGGAGCCCCGCGCTGGGCCCGGGCCGCGCTGCTCGGGGCCGTGCGCGGGCACACGAGGAGCAGCACGCGAAACTGAGCTTTCGCATCAGTTTAGTGGTTTTGCTTTCCCCCTTAGCCGTGTGCGCGGCTGCACTGCAGCCCCTGGCGGGCTGGGCTCCGTGATCTCCAGGGTCTCTTCTCAGCAGAATCTCAGGACGGTTTGGGTTGGGAGTCCTGGGCTTCCATGATATTCAAAGTCACAACTGCTTGGAAGGTGCAAAGAGTGATGTTCTGAATAATCATACACAAAATATTCCACACCTTGCACTGCCCCAGGCTGCTCCCAGCCCCAGTGCCCAGCCTGGCCTTGGACACTTCAGGGATCCAGGGGCAGCCACAGCTGCTCTGGGCCCGGACTTGCCCAATATTGATTTCTCCCCAATATCCCATCTAAACCAGGACATGGAACCAGCCCCGTGCCTGCAGACCCCACCAGCAGCTCCCAGTGAGAGGAAAATGCTGATAAAGGAATGCGGCCCCTTGCTGGATTGTATCTCTCTTCACTCTGTAACAGCACATCTGTGTTTCAAACACTCCCCTCTTTGAAAAATGCTTCTAGGAGTAGTTCAATTGGAATGAAAGGTAATTAGTGAAGGTTTAAATACATTAGTCAAGTATGTGATTCAGGAAACTCACTTCAGGCCCTTGCTCTTGACTAAGGATATTGGCCTCATTAGTTTTTTACCAGTGTTCTTTAATTCCCCCTCCCTTTATTTCTCCTCTCTCAGCGGAGGCAGAAACACACAGAAAATACTGGGTATTTCAACTGATTTTTTTTTAAAAAAACAGTGGTGCTTAAATATGGGTTTTAGGGACTTCAGAGGGTGAGTGCTCTGTGCCTCAGGGCCCCTGGTAAAAACACTGTGTCACTTTCATCTCACTCAGTTTCAGTGCTGCTGGATAGCTAAGTTCCACGTGGAACACTGCTGACAAATTCAAACCTGGAATTTAAATAAGCTTTTGGCAATTCAGTACAAGACATGGCATCTGTGGTATTTCATAAGTGGAAATGTGATATCTGGTAAGCGAGGACAGTGAGTGTCTCCTACTTTATGAATCAGATGCGGCAGAATTTCAGCTGGATTAATAAATACGGCTTGTTTTATTTACATTCAGGAAACACATTAACATAAAGCAACACACTCATCAGGAAATAGTGTGATTTGTACTATGCAAACCACAAATACTTTTTTTTCCCTCTCTAACGAGAAATTCCGACCCCAACGTTGTACTGCTTGTGATGCCTTTTCTGGGGCTACCTGAAAACAGAGACAGACAGAGTTCAGGGAGTAAAAAGCAGGTGTATTTATTGAAAGGCCTTCAGATATATTTTGGGCAGATTAAAGCCCCCCAGGGACTGCACCCAAAAATGGATGATGGGTCATGGATTTTCAGAGTTTCGTAAGTTTGGTTTATTTGCATATTGGGGGTTAATCCTCCAATTACAGCTTCAGGTAATTACCCCAAGTCATTTACCCCAAGTTTGCTCCCCACAAGTCCCTTTTGTTTCCATCTCTGGGGCCTGAGGCAGTGAGGAGCCCCTGACTGCCAGGCCTGGAGAGGAATTGTGTCTGACCAAAATGCGAATTACCATCGCTCATGGAGTTTGGAGTTAAGCACTAAAGAACTGCAGGACTGAAATAAAATGGGCAGGAGATCTCTTTCCTTTTTAATGCCTTTATTAAGAAGGATCAGCTCAGGTGGGGAGAAATCGACGGGCCTTTGTCCGCTGGTCTGCAGGCAGAGCTGGGGATTCCGTACTCACGGGAAATTAGCAGATTTCTGCTTTTCAGGCCAACATCTCGGCTCCATTGAAGAAGAACTCTTAACAATGAAGCTAACTTAACAGCAACTGCTCCAACTTGTTTTAACTCTGCAACCTTAAAAAAAAACAGAGATAACTTTTTATTCATAACAGGATCACAAACAGAGAGAAGCCAGAATCCCTAGGCATGACGGGGATTTTGTGAGGGTTTGCTGAGGCGATCGCGGCCCCTCAGAGCCCCCTCAGCGCTTTCCCGCGCGCGGGCCCGTGAGGGGACGGGGATGGGGGGGGGGCTGAGCGCGCACCTTCCGGGCCCGCGCTGTGTGTGCCGCAGCAGCAGCGGCGGAGCGGGCGGCGGCGCGATGGCCTCCAGCAGCGGCACCGACGTGATCCAGGTCACCAACGTCTCGCCCAGCGCCAGCTCGGAGCAGATGCGGACCCTCTTCGGCTTCCTGGGCAAGATCGAGGAGCTGCGCCTCTTCCCCCCCGAGTGAGTGCGGGCCCGGCCCGGCCTCTCCCCCGCGGCCCGGCCCGGCCCGGCCGCCCCCGCTGCCGTGATCGCCGCGCCCGGGGGCGGCCCCGCTCGGTCACGGGGATCGCTGCGGGGCGTGGAGCCGCGCGCTCCTCCGCGGGAGCTGCTTGTCCCGGCTGGTGCGGCTGGGCCTTCTCTAGGCGGAGATTGACGCGTTTGTTACGAAGATTTTTTTTTTGCTAGTGTACAAAAAACACGCTTTTAATGTTTGTGTTCCCTCTGTGCTGAGCAGAAAGGAAGCTGCTAACAAATACGCATTTGGCAGTTGCACATATTGCAGAGAGTTCTGTGCAAATTAAAACAAATAATGCACGTTTCAAGTGTGTATATAACTGAAAAAGTGTCAGGTACCCCCTGCAATTTAAAAATAGCCACACACAAAAAAAAGATAGTTTTTATATATTCACTTGCAATTAAGTTCTAATGAACTTAAGCAGTGCTTTCAGAATCCTTCTGATGCAATATAAAACCTGGGTGTTAGCAATGCTAACAGTTTCAGTTTAATTTACAGAGCCTGCTGTCATTACATGTTGTTGTTTTGCATATTCATTGTATAAATTAAGGGTTTTCTTTCTGCCACGTTGAAGATTAATCAAACAATCAATTATTTGTAATACCCAGAATCACTTGGATTTATTATTTTAGGGGGGAAAAGTCCAGCAGAATATTTGTTTTTCCTCACTGGGGCTTCCATCCCTGCTGGCACAGAGCAAAGAGAGTTCCAGAGGAGGTTTCTTGTTCCCAGCTGGATAACTGACATGCAGGAGCTCCCCTGTGGCAGGGCAGTCCTTTCCTGCCCTGTGTCTGAACTCTCAGTCTCATTTTTTAGGGCGGTTGTTGGAGGTGATTGGTCTCTGAAACTTTGTAGCTTTAGGTACACATTAACTCATCTGTTGAGGGGTTGCTGCAGTGCCTTGGTGTCCCTTCCTCGTGTGAGAAGCTCAGCCCCAGGGGGTTCTCCCTGCCCTGATGGGAATCTGCTCTGGGTCACTTCAGTTCCCCTTCACCCCAAAAAGGGGACATTTTTTATTAGTGCCACGTTCTCTTTCTGCTCCTTCCCCCTCAGATTCCTGCTCCTGACTTCTCCCTGCCCATGGTGCCCATTCATTGTGGAGGGGTGTGGGATATAAATCATTACCTGTGAATTCTCCCCCTAATCTGGATTCCTTTCTGGATCCTGCTGGCATTCTCCCTTGCCTGTGGTGTTTGAGGAGCCAATCCCATTTCCTTTGCTCCACCTCTTTGTTTGATCTGTGTCACTCTGGCTCTGCTGTGGAGCTTCCTTCTTCTCCTGCTCTTCCAGAACACGTGTAACTTCCTGAGCTCCTCTCAATTCCTGTTTTTCCTCCTCTCCCCTCATCCACCTCCTTTTCCCAGTTTATTTAATCCCCTGTTTCCCGTTTATTGTACACCTCAGCTGCACCTTTAATGCACAGCCAGCTCTGGGACTTCTTCCAATTTTCCTCCCCCTCCTCCTCCTGCTTTTCCCCAACTCCATTGCCTGGTTCTCATCTTTGTTATATTCCATAAAACTCCATCCAGACTGGAAAGTGGAGGGAGAGGATTTCTGAGTTTCCTGTATTGCAGCCCCAGGAAATCCTTGTGTGTCCCAGCATTCCAGTGGCTGAGAGACAATTCCTCAATGCTCCAGTCTTGGGTGAATTAGAATAATGATGGATGGTGGCTTTTTTTGGGAGCTGTTGGGAACATCCAGTTCTTGTTGAATTTCGCCCAGCTTGGATTTGAGAGTGAGTGGAAATACCATTTTTAAAAGTGCAATACACAGATGTAAATTAAATGTCAGGCTGCAGAAGCGTTGCCTAACACATTTTCAGTTGTTATTTTAGGTTCATTATTTTGGGAGAAAGCTCAGCTACCCCAAAGCATTCCCAGTGGCAGTCCTGGCTGTAAACAGGATCTGCTGAGGAGTCAATAGGATCTGCTCTGCTTCACATTCCTTTGTTATCAGTGGCATTTTAAAAATGCCTCACAATACTGGGCTGCATTTCTGCAATTCTGTAATTTTTATACAATTTAGTTTAGGAACTCCTTCAGGTCTGCCATGAACCCTTAATTTGCTTTCCTTTACAATGTTACTGTGATTTTGTTAAACACCTTCTACTAACACTTCTTTGGGTTTATGTGTTATTATTTTTTAATTTCTCATTATTTCTTATTATTAATTATTACTTATGGGCTAAAAAAGGCACCATTTTGGCAAGCTGCTATGGATTCCTGGGCATAAAAGAGCCAACAGATTCAATTTTTTTTCTCATTTGTCACTGCAGTTATTTCCCAATTTATTCAGTCTGCAAGCTGTGGGAGCAAGTGGCTGTTTCTAATTTTAATGTTTCAGAAGCTGCAACGTGCTGGCTGCAATTTAGTTTTCCACACCAGGTGAAATGTAAGGTTACTGAAGAGTGGTGTGACTGGCACTGGGGGCAGTTGTGTGTCTTGGGCCCAGTGGGGCTGAAGGTGAGGGAGCTTTTGGCATTTGCAGTGCCCAAAATAGACCCTGGATCTGTCTGCTTGTGTCGGAGCTGCTCCTGAATTCTGCCAGCCCCCAGTGCTGAAAGGCTTGATCAGCCTCAGCAGCCCACATCAAACTGCTCTGGAGCTGGGGTGCCTTTGAAGTCACGTGTTTTGGGGTTGGGCTGGGAATCCAGGTAGGAAAAGCAGCTTTTTGTCAGGATCAGTGATGTTTTCAGAGCTCCCCAAGCTGATCTGGACCCCTGGCCTGGCGTAGAACAAGGGATTTAGGATTTGCTGCTGCTTCCATTCCCTGCCTTCTGGAGGCAGCTTTCAACTCCTCTGTCCCACAGTTCTGTCTGCAGAAGAATTTTCCTTCCTGTCTTTCACTTTACATCCAATTACCCCCAAATCTGCCCCACTTTCAGGACGGGGGAGGTTCTTAAAACCCATCCTGGACCATGCCTGGGTTGACTGCACCTGTTTTTTTCAGTTTGATTTGCTTTTAGGGAAGTTACAGCTGTAGTTCTACCATTCTTTCCTGTTATAGGAAGTGGATATTTCTGGTTGGTTTTTCTTCGAAGTGGCTCAGAACTTCTCAGTTTAGGGTTTGTAGGTTGACAGACACAGGCCTGCCTTGGAGAGAGGTCTGTTTTACTGTGCTCAGCTTTTCATTCCTCCCAGAGCTCCTTACCTTTCCTTGTGTTTGCTCTTCCCTGCTGAAGACAGGCAGGAGCTCAGCACTGGGCATTCCTCAGGATGTGGGAGCACGGTGAAGTTTAGTCTAGAAGCTGGGATAGAATTGGGTTGATGAATAAAACAGAATCCCAGACTGGTTTGGGTTGGGAGTGACCTTAGAGCTCATCCAGTGCCCCCCTGCCATGGCAGAAACACCTTCCACTGTCCCAGACTGCTCCCACCTGGCCTTGGGCACTGCAGGGATCCAGGGGCAGCCACAGCTTCTCTGGGCATTCTGTTCCAGGGCCTCAGCCCCTTCCCAGCCAGGAATTCCTTCCCAATATCCCATCCCTGCCCTCTGTCAGGTCAAGGCCTTCACCCCACACCCGCCCCTACGTGCCCTTGTCCCGAGTCACGAGGATCCTTTAATCATCACCCTCTGTTTCACAATTTACCTTAATCAGTCATCTGGGGCCTAAAGCAGTGAGCGTGACACCACAGGTTTAACTGAGACAGAATTGCTCCCTTTTTCTCCTTTTTCAGCCGAGCTTTCCTCCCAGCCAGGGCGGAATTTGCATTTAGGGGAGCACTCACGGACTCATTGTGCATACCAGAGCTCCGAGCCATAGCAGAGCTCAGTGCAGCTCCAGGCGAGGGGGTGTGGGGCTGCTGTGATTCCGGGGTGGGTGGGCACTGTCCCTGCTGTCCCTGAGTGCTGGCTCTTCTCTTGCAGTGACTCCCCCTTGCCGGTGTCGTCGCGCGTGTGCTTTGTAAAGTTCCACGACCCCGACTCGGCCGTGGTGGCCCAGCACCTGACAAACACTGTGTTCGTTGACAGAGCCCTCATAGTCGTTCCCTATGCTGAAGGTTTGTAACTTGTTTGGTGTTCTACGGGGCCACCTTTGGGTGGTGGTTGGTTCCTGTCTAGTGCACAGATTTTAACAGTAGTCCTATGTCAAACACGTCAGATTGCCATTCTGAAACCCTTGGTATATTGCCTTTGGCCCCTGCATTTGGTCACTTTGTTTCCATAGTGACACCAAATCGAAGTGGAAAGTTTTGTGTGTCTTGAAGTGTAGAATGAGAACATTTTAGGCAGAATTCTATGCCAATTTTGCTCTGTGTCAGTCTCAGTGAGACATTTTCCCAAACAGATTGTAATGCAATCAGGTCAATATTTTAAGGAAATTTTACCTTAATGATTGTTTGCCACTCTCACTCTCTTCATGAGAACGGTTTCTCCCTCCCTGAGAGTGCACGGGAGAGGAATGAACATTCCTTTGGGCTATGCTGCCACTGCATTTATTTGGGAACATCCCCAAAAAAAGGCCCTCACTCTCCTTGTGGAGTCCAGTATACCAAGGGTTTGAATAATTACGGTTTAACTCAAAAGTGACAACTTCCAAGAGGTGCCACATGGGCACTGGTCCTAGTTTTTAATTCCAAGTTTTCTTGTTCATCCTTGATATATTTAATAGAATTTCACTAAATAATAAACTCTTCTCTCTGTTATTTGTGTGTGTGATTTTTGTAGTGGAGAAGGCAAATGCAAAGCCCTTCCAGATGACTGAAAAACAGTGGGTCCTCTGCAGCTACAGGGGATTCTAGCCATTAACTAAAGGCCAGCAAGCACTCAAGTCCCCAAGTGTTTTCCTGGTGTAACCACTTGTTAACTACATTTTCTCTTCTTCTTTTTATTTTTACATTTTAGGGTGTTACAGTAATTTCAAAGGCAATGAGCAGGGTTTTTGGAACTTACCTTAAAAGCAAAGTGCTGAGAAGACACCTCTTCTTACAGAAGTCTTATTAAACTCTTCTAGACTTGCTTTAGAAGTAACTGATTTCCATTGTACTTGTGAATTTCTTGATTTACTTCTGGGAAAGGTTGAATTGAATGAAATCTTGCAGATTAAGTCATACTACAGTGCTAAGTTGGGTACATGGCCTGGGGTCACACCTGTAATCTGTCATGCTGGAGCTGTCTCTTGAGGCCTGGGGACTGTCTTATCTTATCTTTGTATTCCTTAAGCGTAAAAGATACAAAACTTAAAAGATGTCCAGCCTAATTCCTGGAGTGTAGGAGTGTGCCCTCTGACTGAGCCCTGCTGCTCCCTGAGGGCACAGAACCCCTTCTGCAATGGAGTTACTGCTCCTGCAGCCCCTGCTTGAGAGCAGCAGAGCTGAGAGCTTCTTGTCCCTGTGTGGCTGTTAAACACAGCACCAGTCCAGTGAGATTGTCCTGGAATCTTCCCCAAGGCCCGTGGGGATAATGCCAGTGTTTAACTCTTCCTACAAGGATAAGCCCACTTTTCTCTTTGTCAGTCTCACTTTGCCCACTGTGGATAAGCCTGGCACACAGAGAAACCTGCCCAGCAGCTGGGCTTCAGAAAGTCCAATTATTAAAGCAGAATGTTTTCCTGGGCCTGTTCAGGAGTCACTCCTGGGCTGTACCTTGTGTTGTCTAACAGTTCAGAATTTAATGGCCTTGGCACATCATAAGAGAGATGTTCAGCCAATAAAGTACTGCCCCTGGGTTGATAATCCCATGCTTCTGTCCCTGTGCTGGAGTAGTTTCCCCAAAATTCAGCCTGCCAGGGTCCCGGTTCAACCAGGAGCAGCATTTCCCCAGCCCACAGTGCCACTGCTGATGTGCTTAAAGCCAGGCCTGTGCTGAGTGGGGCCCTCCTCTCTGATTTCTGCTGTGCTAATGAACCTGTGTGATTATTGCCTGTCACTAAAGCAAATGTTTATTATCTGTTTAGTGCAATAATTCCCCCCCTGTCCCAAGTTTTAGCTCACACAGACACTTTGGTGTTGGCTGTTGCTTTGTGTTATAGAACTATACACAAAGGCTACGGTAAGGTTTAGTATTTGTCATTTTCTCTGGGCTAATTCCTGGATTTGGAAGGAACTCTTAAGGTTAAAGATGGCTGGGGGGGTGTTTAGGTTCTTTGGTTAATGTTTGTTTCTTTTGTCTGTTTCTTTTTCTTTCATTTCTACACATTCATGCAGTATTTCATGGTTCTAACAAAGCAGCAGTAAAAAAAGCTCTTGAAGCATGAAAATTAACTGGTGAGGGGCCTCATTGCTTTTTTTAAATTGTAGTTTATTTAAATACTTTTAAAAGAAACAATTAGAGGATCAGATGCATGAATTTTTTTTAATGGATGCAGATCTTCTGTGAGGTGTCTCGAGCTAAGTCTGAGGATTTGTATTTAGATGCCAGAAATGTTGTAGTTGCACTAATTTGAAATGTTTAGCTGTAATTGATAAATATCCTCTTGAGACATAATTTTGCATGCCAAATGACCCCATAATCTCTCTGTAGGTATGTTGATATATTTATGCATTCCTGCCCTTTGCCTCCATGACCTTTTTCCCTGTCCCTCCATAACTTTGGGTATCTAAAGTGCTGCCAGCTCAGTGCCACGAGCCAGATATCAGTGCTGTGTATTGTACATTTGTGTAGATTATCGGCACTTCTCAGTATAGGTGGGAGGAACCATTACCTTTATTTAACAGTGGTTTTTCTTTTTTGTTGTTGTGTTTTACAGTTCTTTTCCCTGGTTCAGCCTGAACTATATACCAGGCCCTGCTGAAAATACCACCCAACAGTTTTCTTCTGCAGCTTATCCAGTTTCTCTTAAGTGCCCTGTACATATTGTATGTTTTATGATGAGATGCAGTTTCTTAATATGTATTACAGAAACACTACTGGTATTTGCAACTATATAGTAAAATTGTTTTATTGAACTCTCATTTTGGGGGCTTGGGCACATTAACAAATTAATCCACCTGTATAGGGCTTTTGCTGTTGGATAGAGTAAAACTCCCTCCACAACTGTTTGCTAGTAGGGCCCTGAGCACTCTGTGTGCAGAGCAGGCAGAGCAGGAAGCCCTGGGCTTAGCTGCCTGCAAGACTTTGGGCCACGAGTCCCCTGTGCCACGGCAGGTGGCAGCAGCATTGTTGGTGCTCTAAGCTGGCACATATTGGAACAAAAGCATTTTACTGCACAGGTAAGGAATGTGCCAGCATCCCTGTGTGTATCCCAGCCACAGACACACCCCCAGCATTCCCGGAGAGCCGCAGGGACCGCATTCCATGTGACACGTCAGCAAAAGCCCTACCCAAAACACCCATCCCTTCTCTTTAAGTTTGCCAAAATTTGTATGGTAGGTGTAAAAGAAAACATAGTGAACTGTACCATATTATTAACCCCTAAATCCAACTTTTTTTGTCTTGTGTATCTTGATTTTTCTGTGTGCTTTGTAGTGAAGCAGCCGACACGAGTCGTTGTTCATAAAACAGCTTTTGAAAGTTGAGAGCACTCTCACCCCTGGAGAACCGACTGTGCTTGCTTACGTTTGGTTCATGACTTAAAAATCGAGTACAGGTGATGAAACCTTGGCAGTGTTAACAACAAAGTAGTGTGTATTGTGCTATTTTTTTGCTCTAGAAACTTAACCTTTTGTAGAGAAAAAGGAACAGTCAAATTGTCACCCATTGAAGTTGCATTCTGACAAAAAAAGTTAATGCTAAATATTAATAGCCATCAAGCTTTGTATTTTAGCCAACATAAGTACTTTCAACAAACTCAGGTGGTGTATCAGGGAGACTTTGCTGGGTGTATTTGTGTATTTGGTGCCTCTGGGCTGGGATGCACTCTAATGCCAGGCTGTTTCCCTGCAGGAGTCATTCCTGATGAGACTAAGGCTTTGTCTCTCTTGGCACCAGCTAATGCCGTGGCAGGGCTGCTGCCCGGGGGTGGCCTGCTGCCCACTCCCAACCCTCTCTCTCAGGTAGGCTGGGACCCCCGTGTGTCTCCTGCTGCATTCCCACTTCATTCCTGCTCTTTCTTTCAGGACTGAAATTGATTCCAATTCCTAGAGTGCTTAATCGACCCCGATGGATTGGGACAGCTCTGATGGGAATTGGGGCACGACAGTGACAAGCTGTTAGATGGAATATCCTCATTTCCCCTTATTTCCTTATTCCCTGGTTTCTCAGGGCCCTGTCTGTGCCTCCCACCCCTCTCACCCGCTGTGCTTTACAGATGTGACAAGCACTAGAGGTCTCACAGATTTTAAATTCCTCAAGTCCAAGGAGCTGCCACACTGTGAGATTCCCTTCATTAATTCCCAGCTGAGGGGAAAATTGGAGCCTGGTTGTGTGAACCCACAGGAATTCATGTGGAAGATGAACAGTGAGAATTGCACATTGTGGGAGAAGCTGGAGTCACAGCCCAGCTCTTAACAGGGCACAGAATCAAAGTGCAGGAGGCCAATTAATCATTGTAAATCATGATGAAGCCTCATCAATTCTGCTCTCCTCAAACCCTCCCCAGCTTCTGCTCAGTTGAAGGACCCCCTGGCCATGGAGCTGCTCAGGAGGGAAGAGCCTAAATTTAACCTCTGAAACCCAGGGGAGGGGTTGGAAGGACCAAATACAACCCAGAAGATTGCACTCACTGAAAACCTGTGCATATGAGTCCTGGAAATGGATGTTGGGCCACCTGAGTTGCAGCTGTGTCCCTGAGGCCAGGCTGCTCCCACCCCTCTGGTGGGATGTGTTCAGCACATCTTGGCAGTGTGTGATGGGTCTGGGTGTCTGGCTCAGTCACCTCATGTGAAATGGCCCAAAATGAGCTGCTTTAGGGAGCCTTCTGCTCTCCCAGTAGCTTTTTAACCAAACTGGAGACGTTTACAGGGATGCAGTATTGTTAAATTGCCTTTCAACATAAACCATGGCCATCTCAACCCTAAAATGAATTAGAAATGGGGCAATAGCCTCAAAAACTTGGAACGAATTTCCATTTTAGCACTGGAAAATAACTTCATTTTTAACTATCCCTTCAATTTGCTGGAATGCTTTACTCCTTCACCTTTATTTCCCCTGCCCAGTGATGTCCCTGCCTGTGCCCTAACTGCTGTCTCTGCCACAGATTGGTGCTGTCCCTTTAGCTGCTTTAGGAGCTCCTGCTCTCGACCCTGCCCTTGCTGCTCTTGGGCTTCCTGGAGCAAACCTGAACTCCCAGGTACGTCCTCATTCCAAAATGTCCTTTATTGCCCCCCTTTTTCCTGTCTAGGAGTGGTTTTCATTTGGATCACTTCACAGCCACTGCCTGGGAACTCCAGGGGGTGGTTTCTGTTTGGAATAAAAAATATCTGCTTGAATATCAAATTAAATGTTGGAAGGGGCCAAGGAGGAATTTGGGAATAGCAATTAAATGTTTCAAGTATGTGTCATTATCAGGCCAGGAACCTGCCTTGTTCTTCAAGTGAAAATTAGTTTTGACTTTCTAATTTTGTAGATGTCAAAAATGTGAGGAAGCTTCATTAGGTTGTTACAGCTGAACAAAAAAGGCTTTTAAGTACTAGAATACTGAGTATATTTGTATCAATAAAAATATATCAATATAAATATATTGCTCATATCTATATAGATAAAATATTTAAGAGGTAAGAACGAAAGACTTTGGTACAGCAACAAGAAGCAGCAATAATTTATTGCATTGCTACTGCCATCACTTAAATTTTTTATGTATTCCCGTGTGGAAGAACAAGCAAATGATGGTGAAACTTAAATAACAAATGAAAAAAAAAATTAAAGGCAAATTAGGAAAATGTAAGTTTGGGGTTATAGAGGATTTTTGTACATTAAACCATCAGATTGTAAGAAGCATTTCATAAATGAAAGTTGGGGTTCATTGTAAAAAAAATGAGGATTAAGCATTTTTTTCTTAATACCCCATTTGTGCAGGAGATGTCTGATCATAATAATACCTGGATTATCCTAAGAGCTGTAAAATTCATTTTGTCATGGAATATTTAGATGTTTGTAAGTTGGCCTTGAGGTCTTCAGTGGACAGACAGCTTAGAGAGGGCTCTGTTCTCTTGCAGTGACAGAAATAACCTGTGCACAAAAAGTTACCAGTACCTCATGATAAACACACCCAGCAGTGTATTTTTGTCTGTTGGTATTTTTATCCATTTGTGGTTTTATCCATTTGTGGTTTTATCCCTGATCCTGCCCAGGCAGGGCTGGCTTTGGCTGCTGTGGAAAATAAATCCCCAGTGTGGGATGTTCACACCCTCCCAGCAGCCCAGTGTGGCCTTTCCTCTTTGCTGGGGGGTGTTCTGCTCTCCTTTTCCAGCTGGGAAAACTTCCAGGGGACATTCCAAGGAAGGTTCTGGAGCTCTCACATCTCCCAGCCTGCTTCTAACTTTGTTTTTCCCTCACAGTCTCTCGCAGCAGATCAGCTCCTAAAACTGATGAGCACAGTGGATCCAAAGTAAGCACCAGTGCTCCCAAACCCTTGTACTGCACTGCTGGGGGATTTAATGGGAATATCCTTGGGGATTCCATGGGAATATCCATGGGGATTCAGTGCCCAGTCCCTGCTTGGAAGGGCCTTGGAGCACCCTGGGCTAGGGAAGGTTCCCTGCCCTTGGCAGGGGGTGGGATGAGATGGGCTTGGTGTCCCTCCAAACCAAAACCATTCCAGGATTCCCTGACCCTGGGAACTGGCTGAGTCTGACAATGCAGACCTGTATCCTGGGAGTCCTGAATTTTGGAATTTTGTGTTGCCCAGGTTGAACCATGTGGCTGCAGGTCTCGTGTCCCCCAGTCTGAAATCAGATACCTCCAGTAAAGAAATAGAAGAGGCCATGAAGAGAGTCCGAGAAGCACAGTCCTTAATCTCTGCTGCTATAGAGCCAGGTAATTCCAGCCTGGAATGAGCCATTCCAGCCAGCATGGGGCTGGACACAGCACCTGATCAGAGCTGATGGGCTGCAGAGCCCTGCCCTCATGCCTGTGTAGAGAATTCCTTTATTAGGTTTTTAATCATCCTGCAGTGGATGCTCCGTGTGTCCTGCAGAAATGGGCTGGAATTAATCCACTGATTTTCCCAAAATTCACTGATTTGAGGGCTGTAAAACACTCAGGCTTCCCTGAGGGAAGTTCTGCTGCTGTCTCAAATTCCAAGGGAATGTGGATTTCCTGGCCTCACCACTTGGCACCCTGCTGATGCTTCTCAGGGATGCTTTCCCTTATCTTCATTCCTGATCTGGGCAGGTTTGTAAATAATTCTCTTTTTTGGAGCTTCTTTCAGCAGGTTTGATTTTAGAACAAGCTCCAGCAGCTCTCACAAATGTCAGGGCCACCAAATCCGAGGGGCAGAAACCTGAACACTGGAAATACAGAATATTCATCAGTTCTGCAGCCTGATGACTTCTAGGAAGGAACAGAGCTCCTGTTCTTGCTTAGCTTGAGGCTTTTTTCTGGGAGATGCAAAACAATCATTTGACAGGTTCTTCAGCCCCTCAGGAAATGGCAAATTCTGGGATTTTCACAGGATTTTCCATTGCCCTGCAGCCATCAGCTTTTCACTGAGTTAAATTAAGGGTTTTTTTCTCAATTTTGACTTCTCCAGTTTTGCATAAAACTTCTATTTTATGTCACAAACATGTCCCTGTCTTCTGTTGGTTCTTTTTGTCTTCTTGTGAAGAAAATTATAGATGAGCCTTCATGTCAAATGGCAAGATCAGATTGATTTATATCAATTACATGAAGCTCCGTGTCCTTTCCTTTGGAAAATCATTTTGAACATTAAAACATTGGTTTTTATTCTGCTTTTCCTTTTTCAGACAAAAAAGATGAAAAACGAAGACATTCGAGGTCGAGGTCGCGCTCGAGGAGGAGGAGGACACCTTCCTCATCCAGACACAGGTGACTGAGCAATTCCTTAGAAACAGCTCCCACAGCAAGAACAATTCCTGCAAAAATCATTCTTGGGAAGAGCTCGGGTGTGATGTCGGGCTCCAAAGCTTCACGGACATTTCAGCGTGCAGAGCTCCTGGGCAGGCCGGGCTGTGGCTGGAGGCTTTGGCTGGGTTTTGGGGGGTTCCCAGCCCTGAGAGCTGGGCTGGGAGCAGTCCCAGGGTGTCCTTCCTGTGACTCCATGTTGGTGTGTCCCTGGCAGACGCTCCAGGAGCAGATCAAGGAGAAGATCCCATTCCAAATCCAGAAGCAGGAGGCGATCCAAAAGTCCCAGGAGAAGGAGATCTCATTCCAGAGAGAGGAGCAGGAGGTCTCGGAGCACATCCAAAACCAGGTGATGACTCCAGGGAGTGCAGTCCTGAGCAGGGCAGGGATTGTCCCCTGTGCTGGCCCTGCTGGGTCCCCCCAGGGCTGTGTCCAGCTCTGGGCCCTCACTTCAGAGAGGGGCTGGAGCTCCTGGGGGGCTCAGCCTGGGGAGCCAGCCCTGCCCCTCCCAGCTCTGCATCCCTTTCCCTGCACAGCAGATTAGGATGTGCTGTTTGAAATTTACTTAAACTTGATCTCTTTTCTACTAAAAGGGATAAAAAGAAGGAAGAGAAAGAAAAGAAACGTTCTAAAACTCCCCCCAAAAGCTACAGCACAACCAGAAGATCCAGAAGCACAAGCAGGTACAGAAATGGGATTTTCCTTGCTCTCTGTTCCCAGCACTTCAATCAGTATTAAACAGAAAAAAATGTTCTTGTGGTAGAGCAGCTGGTCTGTGGAAGGTGTCCCTGCCCATGGAAGGAGCCGGGCTTTGAGGTTCCTTCCAGCCCAGACTGTGCCTGGATCCCATTGGATTGTGTTTCCAATGAGGATGTGTCTGGTACAGGCACAACAGCACCTGTACCACCTGTGTCTGTAAGATACTTGATTTTCCTGCAGTATTTGAGGGAAATTCGTTGGGTTTACAACAGCTTTCCTTGCTCTGTGTCCGAATTTGATGCTCCAGGGTCACTGCCAAGCTCTTCCTGATTTAGGGAATAAATCCAGGCAAAAGTGCTTCATTTTTTAAAAAAAAACTTCCAAATTTAGCTTGCAGTTTTAACAACTCTTTAGCACCCTGTGAGCAGGGCTAGGGTTGGAGTTAGGGATGCATTTGCGGCTTTAAAAAAACAAGCAGTGATTTCCAGAGCTCCTGTGTCTCCCTGCAGAGAACGGCGGCGCCGGCGGAGCCGGAGCGGGACGCGGTCCCCGAAAAAGCCCCGGTCTCCCAAACGGAAAATGTCCCGGTCTCCGTCACCCAGAAGGTCAGGGGAACACTTGGCTGGGAAGAATGGTGTCTGGGTGGGAAATTCCCAAATTGTGACCTCCAGGGAGGCTCCCAGGGCATTCTGTGTGGGGGGAATCTTTGCTGCTTTTGCGGAGCTGCTCTGGGGTTGGCTGGGAGCTCCAGGGGTCAGGGGTGGTAGGAGTAGGATGTGCCACCATTCCCAGTCCCTTTGGCTCTGCACAGTGGGAATCAGCTGATTTTGGGTGGCCTGGGTGTTCTGTGACCCTGTCCCAGGGTGGGGAGCTCAAGGTGCTCCTCTGTAAGCTCCAGGGGTCAGGGGTGGTAGGAGTAGGATGTGCCACCATTCCCAGTCCCTTTGGCTCTGCACAGTGGGAATCAGCTGATTTTGTGACCTTGTCCCAGCGCGGGGAGCTCAAGGTGCTCCTCTGTGAAACACTGGAGCACTGCTGTTTGTGCTGTGCAGAATTTGGACTCCATGATCCCTGTGGGGCCCTTCAGCTCAGGAGATTCCATGGTTCTGTTTGCCACAGCATTGCTCAGCCTTGGCTCTGTGGTGCTGTCCTTGAGACAGAGTTAAGAAATTGGGATTTTGGGTATTTCCTGGAAGCAGAGCCTGTTCCCTACTTGCCCTCTTCCATTTTCATTTGGGTTTCGTGTGGGTAGTGCTCTGGACACAGTTCCAGTCACGGAGTGGGGTGATGGGGACAGGCCTCATCCTCTGCCTGCTGATCCTCATAGGCATAAAAAGGAAAAGAAGAAGGATAAAGACAAGGAGAGGAGCAGAGACGAGAGGGAGCGGTCAACGAGCAAGAAAAAGAAGAGCAAAGACAAGGAGAAGGATCGAGACCGGAAATCCGAGAGCGACAAGGATGTGAAAGTATGTTCCAAAAAGCCCTGGAGCTGCTCCCAGCCCTGCCCCACATCCCCCCCGGCCCGGCCCACAGGGAAGTGCTAACGTGTCCCTTTCCCTGGCAAAGCAGGTCACAAGGGACTACGACGAGGAGGAACAGGGCTACGACAGCGAGAAGGAGAAGAAGGAGGAGAAGAAGGCGGCGGATGCTCCCTCCCCCAAAGGGAAGGAGCCCGGAGCAGAGAAGGGCAGCGGGGATCCGGGCAGGGAGTCCAAGGTGAACGGGGACGACCACCACGAGGAGGACATGGACATGAGCGACTGAGCCGCCCACAGCCCCTCCAGTGTGATCCTTTATGCTGTACTTGTTAATCCTCAACCTAGATGTATCCAGCTCCGAGCTCTCCATGGTCTGTCCATCCCGATACTAACTCACACCCAAAGCTTGAGACAGGGATCCCCTGCTCCGGGGCCCAGCTGGGGCCGGGCCAGGCTGCAGGTCCCTCCTCCCTCCCTCCCTGCTTCCCTCCCTCCGGAGTGTCCCGGGCTGAGCCAGCAGGGCCCAGCAGGGCCCAGCAGTGTGGGGAGTGTGGCACGGCCCCTCTGTCCTGTGGGAATGCCCTGGGAGTGTGGCACAGCCTCCTGTCCTGCAGCTGCCGGGGGCCTCCCGGGCACCCCGGAGCCGGCCTTGGATCGCACCAGCTCTTTGTGCTCCTGGCTTGAGTTCTGGTTGTGAGCCATGTGCTGGGCTCGTTGGGTTTGGTTTCCCAGTGCGTTTTGGTTGGCTTTGCCCAGGGTTCTGTGCCCTGACCTTCCTGAGGGCTCTCTCCACTGTTCAGTTCCACCCAGGGCGAGCTGGGATGGTCTGACCTCGGGAAGGGGAATCCTGGCTGTGCCCAGTGAGGGAGGGTTGGGGGAGCAGCTTCAGCCAGGGCTGGGGGCTCAGGAGCTCACCCGCTGCAGCAGGGAGTGCATTTTAAAATGACCTTGGTCTGTTTTTAAAGCAAGTCCATTGATAATGTACTTTTTACTTGATCTCAAGTTGTACAAACGGATAAATTTGTGTTCCTGTCCCGGCCGTTCCCTCCCTCCCGCACTCGGTGATCCCATGGTATTTGCAGAGTAGTTACCCAAAGCTGTTCCTTAGTTCCAGCAGCTCCAGAGCTTTTACTTTTGTGCAGGTAAAGAGACAAAAGTAGCCGACAGTCTGTGCCATGTCGATGTACAGTTTCGGAAAATGTTTTACAAAACTTTGATAATAAAACCCTGAAACTTCAACTCCTCTTCCTAGAAAACTGCTGGGTTTTATTTTCACTGCTGGGTGCACCAAACTTAACCTGGTTCCTTACAGCGGACTTGTCCATCTCCCTGTTACAGTGAAGAAGGAAGTATTTTACCTTTTGGGGGGAAATGGGTTAAAATGGGAATGTGGAGGTTTATGGGAGTGCTGGTGGATGAAAAGCAAGAGAAGGCTCTGGGGAGACCCTGCCTGGCAGGGTGCCCTTGGAGCAAGCTCACGGCCACAGCTGCAGTTAGGAAAATCTTTGTTTTAACTGGCAGTGGCTGGAGACCTTCCGGGAAGTTTTCCTGCCCCTTTAGAACAGGAGATTTTCCTGCACCTGCAGAGGGAGGCCCTGATCCCTCTCTGAGCTCGGGGGCTGATGCTGGGGGCAGGAGAGCAAGGCTGAGTTTAAAAACTTAATAACCCCAACCCCAGCCCTCCCTCAAAAAAAACCCAAAAACCCAGAAGAACCCAAGACCCCCAAGCAGTCTCCCTCAAAGCCAAAAGAAAACACCAAACCAACAATCCCCTCAAACCCCCCACCCTCCTGCAAGGCCAAAGCCTCTAGGGCCATCCAGGGTTTGCTCTCCATTCCCCCAGAAGTGTCCAGCCTGTGATCCAGGGCAGGCCATTCCTGGATGGAGGAGGTGACCTCTCTGGAAGGACTGACCACAGTTCAGTGACTTTCAGGCTCCTTTTGACCCCTCCCTCGCTCCCAGACTGCTCCCAGCCTGCTCCCTCAGCTCCCAGTGAGGCTGGCAACTCCTCCTGCATCCTTTCCCTGTAAAACCTGGGATTCAGAGAGGGCCGAGAGGAGGCTGTAATGAAAATGCAGGATTTTATTTAAAAAATGACCAAGAAAATGCCCTTGCAGAACGCAGCAGCAGGAGCTCGTTCCCTCCCCTCCGGGCCCGCTCCCACAGCGCAGCCGAGGCCGCGGGACAGGAGAGGGAAGCCTGGATTGCACAGGTGGAGCAGTTTCCAAATCCAACAGCATAGTTTGGTCTTTATTCTAACAAATGATACAACCCAAAGTGACTATGAGTGAAGGGAAGGGAAACCAGGGAGCAGACAACAGGAAAACCAAGAGAGGTGACTCGTTTTCCATGGGAGTTACGAACTGTCAGGAAAAGAAAAGTGAAACTGCAGCATTACAGGAATTGGTTAATCCAGATTAAATAATGCAGTTCTCCTGGCAGGAATTACAACTCAGGAGCAGAGACAGAAAATAACAGAGGGCTGCTGGGAATATCAATGGAATCCGGGGGATTCCAGCACAAACACATCCGGGCGGGACGAACGGACTCACGGCAGGGACAGGGAATTGCTGTGCTGGGAGTGCAGTGGCTGGACAGCAGCTCCAGAGAGCGAATCCAGGCTGTTCCCTTTGCCACGGGCAGAGCAGGAGCGTGGAAGACCAGAGGAACAGTTTGGTTCAGAAACAACCCGCGGGATCCTTCCGCAGTGAGGTCGGAATTGGGCTGAGCAAAGTTTCTTTTAAGAGCCATAAAAAACCTCAGGAAAAAAAGAAGTGGTGGGAGGGGAGCCCCAGCGTGGGCAGGAGCAGGGGTGTGATTCCCAGCAGCCTGGTCCAGCTCCCTTCTGCTGCCCTGGACACCGACTCCAGCTGGGCTGTCCAGGCTGCTCCTGGTGCCCCTGGCATTCCCAGGCCACAGGGACGAGCTGGAGCTGCTGCACAAACACAGTCCATGGATCTGTGCTCACTCCCAGGGACCAAACCCTCCTGGAACACCTGGCCTGGCCTCCAGGAAAATGGGGAAAGCCAAGGTGAGGCTCTGCTGGACCAATGCTGCTTGGAAAAGGAATCTCCCAGAGCCACAGGACAGGGGAGGGACCCCGTGCCCCAGGCTGGGGCTGGGAACACCCTGGAGACAGCTGGGCCCACAAACACAACCCAGTGACAAAAACAGGCTTTAGTGGAGAAAACATGGATATAAACATGGATCTCAGTGTGGGCAGCCCCTCAGGATCCACAGGCTCAGCCCAGTGTCCCTCTGGCTGAGAATTCCTGCCGTGCATCCACTGGGAATGCCCAGGCATCCCTACATGTAAGAACTCCTCACCAGGAATGTTCAGAGAGGAAACACATCCCAGGAGGAGGGAAAAGAACTGAGAGCAGCTCTGGGAGCCCAGGGGCTGCCCTGGGAGCTGGGGAACAATGCAGGGAATTCCCATCCCCCAGCTCCACAGGGAGAGCAGGAGCAGCTGGATTTCCTGGGATAACCCAGAACAAGGACAGCCCCAAAGCTGTGCCCACACTCCAAGGCAGAACAAGCCTTAGGAACAGCTTCCTGCAGCCCCTGGAAGTGTCCCAGGGAGCAGCTGTGTCCTGGGGGGTGAAAATCCCCCAGGTCTGCAGCCAGCGGCCACAGGAACCACAGGAAACACTTCCAGGTTCCCCTGGGCTTTGGGCAGACACCCCACAGCCACCAGGGGCTGGTCCAGAGGGGACAGAGCCACAGGAGCCTCAATCCCACAGGAGGCCACCCAAAACCCTCTTTGTTTTCCAGTTCCAAGGCCAGGATCCACCCTGGGATCCCACAGTGGCTGCCCAGCCCCACAGCCCCAGCCACGCTTCCACGGAGCCAGGGATGGATTTGGGATGACCAAAAATGCAAAGGAACACAAACCACTGAGCAAAGGCAGCTCTGACATTCACCTCGGGGAGGAACCTCTCAGCACTGGAATTCCCAAGGAATGGGGTCCCTGTGTGGCACCTGGCACAGGTCCTGCAGCTACACAAAACATCCCAAAGGGACCCCGGGAGGGGACAGAGCCCTGTGCTGCCCCACAGGCACCGCTCCAAGCTCCAGCTCAGCCCCATGGACGTCCCCAGACTGTCCCAGAGGATCCCTCCTGGCTCCCAGGAGCAGCACAGATGGTGTCAGTTCATCCCAGAGGTGTGAAACACATCAGGAATTCATCATGACTTGGGAGAACAAGTTCCATCATTCCCAGAGGATGCTCCACACCTGCCCTGACACGGCACTGCAGCCGTCATTTCCCTTTGCTTGTTTTCCCTAAAGTTCCATTTTGGATTGGAGTTTGAATTAACAACAAAGCTGCACTGCTCCCCTGTCCCAGTGCTCCCCTGTCCCAGTGCTCCCCTGTCCCCCAGGTCCAGAGGTGCTGGCAAAGGACCAACCCCACCCTCCCACTCCAGTGCTCCTGGACTTTGCTGAGTGATTCCCTGGCCTCCTCCACGTCCCTCCCCAGAGCAGCCTCTTTGGGATGGATCAGAGATTCCAGCAGTTTGGAATTCCCTGCTCTCAGGTGTGCCTGACACCTTGGCCTGTGCTGAGCCCCTCCCTTGTCCCTTGTGCTCAGCACAGCTGTTCCCTCTACTGAGCATCAGTGATCCTCTTCATTATAAACTTTGATCCTTAACTCTATGGAATTCCAGAAAAAGTTTTACCTACAGTGCACAAAGAATATAATTTGGAAAATATTTACATTTTTGTACAATGACACCACAGCACTTGAATCTAAAGTTCTTCATACAAACAAATAGCACCATCAGCCTTCTGCACAAATCTTGCCTAACAAACCCCAAAAAGGTGGATTATTGTTAGATGAGACTGGAACAACTGGGAATAAGCTCGAGGAGCTGGAGAACTAAACCATCCGTGAAGGGGGGCAGGACAAGATGAGCTACAAGGTCCCCCCAGCCCAAACCAGTCTGGGATTCTCTGATTTAAACACGAAGAGGCAGGAAATGAAAGTGGGAACACCCCAGTGAAAGCTGCCTGTGAGCACCACCATGGCTACAGGACAGGGAGAGCTCCTCCTGCAGGAAGGGGCAGTGCCTGAGCTTTTCCCAGTTCCCACAGACTGACCTGGTGGTGCTCAGCCTCTCCCAAGTGAGGGTCAAATACAGGATTAACAAGAAGTGACATTCCTGGCCAGGCAGCCCTGGAGTGCCCCCAGCAGCCCAGGAGGCCAGGAGGGAGCAGAGAGCAGGGAGAAGGAGGGGATCAGGCAGGGAGAGCACCAGGCTGGGCCGGTGCTCCGGAGGTGCCTCGCTCCCTGCAGAGCACAGCTGGCTCTGCCTGGGTGCAGCAGGAAATCCAAGTGTCAGTGGTGCCCATTTGGTTCATTCGTCTACAGCCAAGGCATTCCTTTAGGATACCTTCCAACATTCCGTGGCTGAGCTGGGAGCTCAGGGAACAGGGAGCACGGGAAGGACAGGGGGAGCTCACCTCACCCCCGGGCCCAGCTCGGTGCCAAGGTCCAGCAGCGCCTCGTGGATCACCACAAGTGTAAAAAATTTAAAAACCAGCAGCTCCTCCCAGCTGGGGGTGGCAGCTCCCGAAGCAGGAGTGGCCGTGCCAAAGGGGGTGGCAGCAGGAGGCTCTGGGAGAGGGAGCTGGAGGGGCTGGATGCCCAGGGCAGTGCCAGCACAGCCGCACTGCCGCTCCTTCCCTTGGCTGCGGGCTCACGAGTTCATCCCTTCCTGTGCCCCACGGCTCTGCCTGCTGGGCTGCAGCCATTCCCTGGCCCTGGGGAGCCGGGGTGGGTGTTCCCAGGAGCCCCCAGCCCCCTCAGAGGTCCGGGAAGCGGCTGGGATCCTCCTTGTAGTCGTCGGGAATGGTGAAGATGGAGTCATCGAACTCGTCGTAGCGGAACTCCTGGAAGGTCACAGTGGCCGTGATGGTGGGGAACACCGGGATGTCTGCGGGGACAGGGCTCAGTCAGGGACACCAGCACTGCCACCAACCCCACCCTGCAAGGCTTGGAGCAGCCTGGGGCAGTGGGAGGCGTCCCTGCCCAGGGGAATGGGAGCACGAGCTGGAATTGAGGTCATTCCCAGGAATGCTGTGCAAATACGGCACAGGTAGAGCACAGCCTACCTGCTCACACAGCTCCCTGCAATTCCAGAAACCCTGTGTCCCCTAGCAAAGGGGCTACTGCTTCTGGGATCATCTATCCCGTTAATAAGCTGATCTTAGGCATTTCCATCTGCTACAAGTGCAATAGTTTTCTATT